GCCGGCTCTGTGTCGGCGCTGCGGCCGGAGGCGACTTCAGGTCGGTGGCTGCGGGGATCGGCGTCCCAGTGGCCTCGGATCGCGCACGCCCCCCTCGTCGCCCGCTCCAAAGCAGCGGCCACTGCGGGCAGTTCTCTCTATGCAAATAGACCCCGCCAGAAAAGGCGCGGGGACCCACCCAGGGGAGGAGCGGCCGGTCGGGGAGGGCGGGGGCCCCCGGCGCTCACCGGCTCTGCGGCTCTGGGTCCTCGCCACACCGGTCCTGGCGAGCGCGTCCCAGTGCCCGGCCGCTTCCACTCAAGGGGCTAGACGCGTCTGGTCTCGGCTCTCCTGCAGCCCTCCTGAGGTTGCGGCGCGGTTCGTGTCCTAGGAGCAATCCCCAAACTTGCAGATTGACCTTTCTGACACTTGCAAACCAAAACTTGGAACCCTGTGGGAAAGTTAGCAGTCAGTCCTAGACGGTCGCTGAGCGCCACTTGGTGGCCGAAAGCGGCCCCTGCGCGTGTGTAAGGAAAGACTTGGTAGAGAACCAGAGGGGAATAGAGGAAGAAAAGGATGAGAGCTCTTGAGAAGAGGGAGGAAGAAAGAAGAAAGGAGAAATAGGGAGAATAATAAGGGAAAAGGAGGGAAGAAACGAGGGAAAGCAGACACTTCTTACAGCCATTGCTCTCACTATAATGTCTGGCATGGGCACTAGACAGAAATGGTCATACTTTGGAGGGAGCTGACCCAGAGGGAGCGTTTAGTTCGGAAAGCAGACGAAGATAAAAGGGAAAGGAGCCCTAAACCTTTTGAACTTGATTTCTGCAGGGTAAAACTTGGACCAAACCAAAATCTGGAATGCACCATATTGAGTTAACTACGGTTACACGAAGGCATTTACTTACAGGGGTGACCAGAAAGGCTGAAGTTGGAACCCAGGTTTTAGCTGTTGCCCTCCTCCCCAAGGCATATTTTACCTCAAATAGATTTCAAGTAACTGTTGCACTAACTCCTGTGATACTTGCACAGCTGAGAACAGTTAGTCATGAATACTTGCCACTTTCCCTCCCTGAATCTCCTGGTTGTCTGCTTAATTCCTGTGGCTACATTATCCGTTCTGTATTTAGTAAGCCCATTGAAAACCCCAGCAACACTCGTACTCCCCGCTTAATTCAGAGGGAAAAGCTCCCTGCCCTCAAGACCCTCTGAACTGAAGCAAGGGTGCAATTTCCCACAACTTCCTAGCTGTGGTCTCAGGTAAAGTGAGTTCCTGGTAGTGATTATACAGTTTTGGCCCACTGAGAAAATTGAGCGTGTGCCCAACAGTCTGAAAACCACTTGCTAAGCAAACCCGACAGTCTACTGAAGTCTGAAAAGAGGCCAACACTGTATTACAAATTAACTCAATCCTCTCTAAAAGGTAACTCCCTACTTCCTACCAGTGTCAGTATTAATGGGTACTGCCGGTCTAGAAGCTTCTGTGGATTGAACAGGCCAAACTCATTGCTCCCCGGGCCATTATTCTTGTCGGCTATGTGGATTAGCTTCCTCTCAGACTGTGAAGAGCAAGCAGCTAATCTTGAAGTCAAGGTTTCCAGAGCCTGTCCCAGGCTGCCCAAACTAAGGGGCTCATCCTCAGTTCCCTTCATGATTAATCAGGGGACGGGGAAAGCTGTCCCAAGTTACCTTTTAACTGTATCCCCTTGTTTCATTCGACACTGTCCTCTTACAGAACACTATCTGGCCCATAGTCCACACTCAATAAACACTTGGTAAGTAAAGTAAGACGGAAAATCAGTTTACTGCCTGCAATTCTCAATTGGAAATTCAAGAAAGAAAACACTCAGTTACTTGTTGTCAGTTGGGGTTCTAGAAGTAAAAGGCGGCACCCTCAGAACAGGTGATAAAAGCCTGCTTGACTGTAGACAGATTTCACAGTGGCAATGAGGGAAGCCAGCAGGGGGCAGGGTGAGCACTCTCAGGCTCACAGTAGTGGGCAGCCATTTTTATCCCTAGCTGAACAGGTGAGAGGAGAAGCCTGCTGGGCAGTCTGTGGAAAGTCAGATACTGTAAGAAGTCTGCTCAGCAGGAGCTGTGACCTTTGCCTGTGGACACAGCCTTTGCGAACCATGGCTTGGTGGGGGAAGGAGCTAGAAGAAATACTCTGTCTCCTGCTGGAGACCAGACTAAGTGCAGTATAGAGGGCAGCCCCACAAAAAGCAGACAGAGGGCAGATCTGCACCCAACCTATCATACATTCAGTTGAGCTACTGCTGCCTCCGAGCGCCAACTTGTCATTGATAACATTCTTACCCCTGCATGGCACTCCTCAGAGACCAACTGGCTACCTGGATTACTTTGGACTCTCTCAGTGAAGAAAGAGCCAGAGGGTCTGTCTTTCACAAAGATAACTATTCCAGGTGTGGGCTTTTCTATTTACAGAGTCTCAGTCGCCTGCATGATGTTCACATAACGGGTAACCCATAGGTATGAAATCTCATACAACACACTCAATCATGCAATCAACTTATTAGCCAAAGAAGTGGGGTGAGTCCATGACCATGACCTCACTGGCTAGTACTGCATCCTGAAGGAGCCAGCCTTGAAATACTGGAACTGCCTTTGAAGGCACTGGTGAAATAATTCAGGGATCTGGCACATGATTAGTCAGGGTATCTCTCTGTGATGCTGTGTTCTTGGTAAGACCACATGGGTCTAAGAACCTAGGGTTAGAAGAAAGAACGGCACCATGACTCAACAGCTGTGACCCAACTTCACAGTTGTGAAGATCTGGCATTTGCTCTTCTCTCATCTCTGGGTTATGCATGCCAAGGGAGAAAGAGACCCATGAATTGCGAGCTCTGTCTTGTTGCCTCCCACTTTGAATTCTGTACGGGGGGGGGGGGCTGAGGGAGTAACTGCGCCTGCTCACCAAGGAGTACTGTGATTCTATATTAGGGGCAGGGAGATATGGGCCACCCAGCCATACCCCTCTGTGCATTGTAATTGGAACAGAAATGTGAACTAACTTGCCCCAGCTAATACTCATGGGTAACTCAGATAACCAAAGGGTCTGAATGTGTTCACAATGTTGCTCAAGGATGCAGGGCTGTGTATTTCCGGGTACCTCCTCCCAAAGTTTAAGTTCTAAGGTTTTAAGAGACAATTACATGGTGAGATTGTCACTGATGAAAAGCTGATCGATCAGCTGGCAGTACAACTGAACCAAGTTATTTAGCCTTCAGACCCTCAGTTTTCAGCCTTTCAAAAAAGCAGGTACTAATGGGGACTATCTCGCTTTACTCTGTTCAAAGTCAGTAAAACTACATGGCACATTGCAAGGCACTGGACATCGGCAACAAAAGGATGGTGACCTTTGGGAGATAGGTAACAGGGAACACAAGGACTCTGGAAACTTCCCAGGGCACAGCGCAAGAAGGCCTCACTCAGGGCTGGCCTACAGTAGAAGAGCTGAGTGGCTGTGGTAGTCTAAGAGGGCAAGGCAGTTCAGAGCAGCAGGGAAGAGGGCTGGAGATCTAGGCTCCCAGAGAGTAGGCTAACAAACCAGGATGATTAGAATTCTAAATGCAAACAAATCCTACAGGCCAGGGTGTCTTCCTGCCCACCAGTTCAGAAAACCAGATAGAGCAGACGTCATTGAGCACTCAAATGGTTTTTGATGGTGGGGGTAGACTAGCCATAAGCTAAGTACTGAGCTCGGTCTTGTTTAAAAGCTTACAACCAAAACCTGGAAAGATCAAATTGATTCAAACAAGCATGTAACGACTGAAGTGTGAAGGAATATAAGCACATCCAGACTAATCTCACCATGTAATTGTGTGTCTTCACACACACCAGAAGGAATCAGATCCTATTTATGGATGGTTGTAAGCCACCATATGGTTGCTGGGAATTGAACTCAGGACCTCTGGAAAAGTAGTCGGTGCTCATAACTGCTGAGGCATTTCTCCAGCCCAACAGCTACTTTTTGAAAAGATCCAAAACAAATCCTAGTAGATGATAATTTAAAATTTTAAAGAAAGACACACACACACACCCACACACACCCACACACACCCACACCAACTACAACACTGGGCTGGGAGAGATGGTTCTGCAGTTGAGCATACTTGTTGCTCTTTGAGAATCCAGGTTTGATTCCCAGCATTCACAGTGTGGCTCACAAACATCTGAACTCCAGTTCTGGGGGAATCTAACACCCTCTACTGGCCTCCTTGGGCACTGCAAGCATATGATACAAACACACAGATAAAATATCCATATACATAAAATATAAATAAACCTTTAACCCCAGCACTTGGGAGGCAGAGGCAAGCAGATCTCAGATCTGAGTTTGAGGTCAGTCTGTTCTACAGAGTGAATTCCAGAACAGAGAAACCTTGTCTTGAAAAACTCAAAGAAATGAATAGTAAACTTAAAGAAAAAGAACACTTGCTGTTCTTGCAGAGAATCTGGGTTCAATTCCTAACACACATGGTGGTTCATGACCATTTGTAACTCCAGTTCTAGGGAATCTGATGCTCTTCTGACCTTCATGGGCAGACATATATACAAGCAAACACTTGTACATGTAAATCTACACTAGATGGGGGCT